TAATGTTCAAACCCCAACCACGGTGTAGTTCAACGGTTGACACAACTCAACGGTTGACACAACTTGTTGTATGACTATTTTTCACCAAACCACGTGTGTGTGCTGTGAAAGTCTTGTGATGGAATGGTCGCCAGATCCACCACACGGTTCACATCCACAGGTTGGTCGCTATCACTGAAAGCAGGTTGGCATGAGGTGCGGGGTGGGGCTTGTGGAGGAGCACCAGCGCAGGTAGTGGAAGGTGTCGCAGCAGCTGATGCTGCTGATCCCTTCAGAGCCCTCAACACAACAGCAGTGTTAGCGTCAGCAACCTGCTTCTCCAAATCCTTGAACTTCGCAGCATGACAGGCATCAACGCAAAAGCGAGTCTTAAGCGCATCAGGAATCCTTAGTGCGGCATACATGCAACAGTTATTGTGGTTAGCTAGGTGTTGAAGTGTTGATTTTGCCACTCACATGACCAGCACATATGGCACACAAGACTACTACTAAGAACATTGTTAATCAACAACGCGTGGCTGGAGGCATCCGTCCGCAGTACTCCACGAACTCAAGCCTGGCGGAGCTTCTCCAAACTCTGAGGCGGGTCGGGTTTTCGGCCCAGCTTCTGAAGAACTGTCCCACCAATCCTGCGCAAGACTCAAATACCTCTGATACAAAATGTTGTCACTAACGTGTAGTGGTAGGTTTGAGAGGTTGACATTGCTATGGCTTGTGCTACATGTTGACACTGACGCATTGACGTCCATGTTAGATGGCACTTGTAAACTTGTATGTGGTTGAACATTTTGTGATTCATGACTCACGCCACAAGTGCCACACCACAACAGCAACCCTGTCCGACATGCAGCGACCATGCATGGTTTTGCGCTGTTGCTCCACCTCATCCATGTCGGTGAAGTAGCCTGTGTATGTGAAGGACACAGCAGCACTGTCGGGAGCCTTGAGTTGGCTCAACTGGCGGTCCCAAACAGCACGGCTCCACTCTGCGAAGCGATTGGGTGTCAAGTCGAAGACATTGACCTTTGCGCCAGTTGGAACAGTGATGCCCTGCAGTGTTTGCTGCAACATGGCAACTGCTGCTTGCACACCACGCTGCTGCACCTAGGTCCAGACATGTTATGAACACAAAATCACACGGGAGTTACAGCACACCTGAGTTATAGCTAGAGACAGTGGGAACAGCAACTGGTAGGTACGGCACCCTGTGGTTGGGCGCCATAGGAGCATCAGGGTCAACTTGGACAAGCTCATTGACTTTGGCCCTCGGAACAGGACCAAGAGTGCCAAGCAAAATTTTGCTTTTCAACCACCAAGAGGATCGTTGACTCGATGCAATTGCTACCAGGCCTCAACATGAAACAACAAGCTGCAAGCAATTGGCGTGAAACATGGCGATAACTAACTCAATAACCGAGAGCAAGCAACAAACACGTTGGTGCAAACGGTGAAACGATTGTCAACAAGCCAACAGCACGCGTACAACTTCAGAGCAGATGCCTTGTTGAGATGTGCGCCTCCTGTCATTACCATGAGGGTTGTCATCCACAAAGTTGACGCTGAATTCCCAATAATCCATGGTTCTGGGAAGTTGGTGGAGCAAACAAACCAGTTAGCAACATGAGTCTTTGGCAGCACTTGAAAGGTCAACCAGTGCAAACTAGTATCGCATAGATCTTGTCTTCAAGGAGCCGTCGGTGTTTCACGATTGTTTGCTTTTCCATGCTTCCATGATACTGTGGTTCCAGCACCAGCAGCATGGACTTATCACTACCAGCAGTGACAAAAGAAGCCAGCTTGATGCCTTCATCGATGATAGTAGGCCCTCAAGCACCACTGGCAGTAACGCAACAACTGAAGTTAGTATTGATTGATATTGTCAATTTGTATGTGGCACCCGGAAAAAATGAAGCACTGTTTGAGGACGAGATACTCGACGGCCAGATTGTCGCATCAATCAGCAGCAGTGCCAACCTCAGTGTGTGTGCATACCAGCAACAATAACACGGTCAGGCAAATTATTTGTTCATGCTGTGAACTTCCATGAAGACAATACTAGCTACGATTTCATGAAAACAAGACTAGCTACGATTGGTGTCCAGTCTTCGCCATGTGGGAAACCATGTCGTTGGCAGCTTCAGTCAAATCATCCACATGTATGAAACGCTGCGATTCATGGAGCATGGCATCCACGGCATCAAGCCCTTTCTGGTACCTGTCGCTGAGGTACTTCACATCGAGGTTTCCCTGCGCAAGGCAGCCAACTGCGATGGGGTACATGGTGAGTTGGACTCCTTTTGGGGACATGTAACAGTAAGCTGGAATTGTGCCTGTCTGGATGCAAAGGAATCAAATTTTTCACTCCACTTCGTGATCAGGTCGATATCCTTTGTGACATTGAGTTGAGCTTCCTCAAACTTGAGAGCAGCCATCTTTGCTGAAAGCCTCAACTGTTACACACCATACTTTAAAACTGACACGATGCAGTTGTCTTCCTCATCCCATGCTGTGAAAACCAAGGGCAAACCCATCCGGTTGTAAGCTCATTCAAGTCAAATGCAGTCCAGTGAAATTGGAATAGTCAGACAAGAGACTCTTGATCCTTGGCCACCTGCTCTGTTTGAGCCTCCGCAGTCAGATTTACTTCAACTGGTCACGCCAATTGCTGATGCGTAGCACAAAAGACAAAAGAGTAAAGCAAGAACGGCGACTGCAATAACACCCTACGGGCCTGTTTATCGAATTTTCTCAGGGCTGCATCAAACAAGGATACTCTTCCAATATCAATTGGTGGTACTGTGGAGTCCAAGAGTGATTGCAAGTCGACGTCCGCGTGCTTGCTCATGAATCTGACAAAAGTAGTATTGACGCGTGCAGTGTGTTTGACATTGTGATGTGATTGCTGCTTGCAACTCTCACCCTTGTCCAGCTAGTTGCAACTAAACTTGCAGACGAGGTTCCCCTTCTCGATCACGGCGACCTCTTTGGTGTAGAAGTCTGTTGGAACCTTCCTCCGGAACTCAGCCAGGCAGGCGTGGTAGGCTGCACAAACACGCTGAAGCAGCTCCTGGGCCAGGACTGCGTGAGATTGGGCGTATGCAGCACCCCCCATACCATACCCACAACAAAACTCCCAGCGCATGAAGTCAACACCACGCAGTCCGCAACCAAGCATCCAAGTCCTTTGGAGAAACGGCCTTCCTCATTTTGGCGTTGAGATTGACGTAGTCACTGGCCAACCGTTTGCTGAGGAGCTCTAGCAAAGCGGGAGTGTTGCAAAGGTCATCCTTCCATACTGCATACTGAGATGTTCCCCCAGTGTAGTCATTGTTGAGGATACCAGAAGCAATTGTATCGTGTTGAATCACACGGTGCATAGAGTACTGCCTACCAGCGCAGCATGTTAAGAAAGCAAACTATAGTCCAACTACAATGATGATCATGATGGCATTACAATGAAGCGATCATGAGCAACGCAATGGCAACTATATTGTAATAGCTATGTTGTCTCAATTCGGGCAGCCTGGACAAAGCGAACAGGGTGTCAGAAACCACCGGCGGAATGTGATACAGCAGGTTCAAAGCAGCCGCGGTCTCCTTCTCTCCTATCTGGTACGCCTGTGCTAGGCTTCCCGCGGTGTAGCCAACCTGGCATGTGGAAGTGCAAGCGTCCCAGTTGTTGTCTTGGCAGGAAGCACAAAACAAGTTTGGACAAGTGCCGAAGCCCCAGGATGCTTGTTGCCTCCAGGTTTTCATCAGCTGATTTGCCAGCGGCTTGCAACATCTTCAACTGGTGGAACAAGTTCAGGGCATTTGGACGTCGGCGTGTTGCAGTACTTGTGAGCGTAATGCCTCACACATAGTTGGACTGAACGCACATCTCCGATTTCTTGGCATCAAATATTTTATATCAGATTATGCAGTCATGGTGCCGCGGTTGGTGTTGACAACCTCCTCTTCGCTTTTGACAAGCTGGCATGTGCAGTGGATTGTTCTCAGAGACCTGACTTGTTTGCATGGTGTGCTAGGAAACAATGACATCAAACACTTGAACTGTTTGTGACAACGCTAACAGGACTGGTTTGCTTTCAACATTATCATCTAAGGTTTGAACTCCACCACATCAAACGGTAGGGCCTGTCACGGCTTTGGAATCAACAAGTCGCCCTTTGGAATCAACAATGCACTAGCAGTGGACATTACGATCCCAGCCTGCATGAACTCATTCTTCTCATAAGCCAGTCGTAGAACCGCTGTCGCCGCCAAGCTTCGTGTCCACCCTTTGGCGTTGAACACACACATAGGAGGGGCCAAATCTCCAACAGCCGTGATGTCTCGGCTTTTGAGTGGACATCGAAAGTCCCGAGGTCGAAAGTCACGACATACGGCCAGCTTCTCAGTCCCGGGAACGTCCGGGTTTGTGATGAACCTCAGACACATTCATCCGTGAATGGGGGTAGTTAGTAGTAGTCAAGTAGTCTTAAATCATGTTGATTCAGAAGCACACGCAAGATTGAAGAGAAGAAACCCGTTGAGGCAAACCACTTGCACCAGGTTGGACACCACATCCTCGCACCACACCAATGGTCACTGACATGTAATTTGATTTGACAGTAGCCAAGGTCCCCACACACAGCAGCCCCACTAAGGTTCTGACGGGATCGCAATAGCCTCGCAGGCCTGCCTCTGGATGCCAATTCAACTGCCATGGTCTTAGGTAGACAGGTCCACTTTGGTTCAGATCCTGTGGTGTTGCGTATGTCCTTGGTTGCATCATTCAACACACAACCAGCAGTAGCAAGAAACATGTCGCGGGTGGTTATGCTCAAGAGGTTCATGTTCAATCCAAATCCAATTACTTCCAAATAACACCGCAGGGGCTGACGGGAAGTTTTCCTCCACAAAGGTGTAGAAGTCCTTCATGTCAGCCTAGTTGCCACGTTTGTGAAAACAACCGCTGGGTAGTATGTCGTGTTCTACAATATAAGCATTTTTGGTTTTGCCTGGAGTGTTTCTTGCAAGTACTTGTCCAGGCTGCCATGTGAGGTCACCTTCTCTTGCCTTGGCGGCTCAACACGCATCCAACCATGGACCATAGCTGTGAAACCTACTTACGACCATTAGACGCTAAGAGTAGATGTGAACTTGTTGTGACACACGTGAACTTGTTGTGACACACATGTATCAGAAAGTGCCAAGCTAGTGAAGCCAACAACAACAACCAACCAAAGTGTCAATTCAAACAGGGTTAAACGAACTGTTGTACAACAACTAGCCGGCGACGTCACTAATCAATCCAATCAAATCCAATGACATCAACAGACGGTGTAGCATGCGCCCAACCCAACCCAACTTCAGTTTTTGTGTGGTCATGCATGTGCTTTGCTGCAGCAGTTTGTGTACTTTGTTCAAAGGTGCAACCACACATCCATCATTTTGACGTGAGGGTTTCGAGCAACAGCTTCCTGGCTAAGCTTTTCCAGGTCTTCAGAGGTCCGCTTGGCCTTTGCCGGCTTTGCAGGACCAGGGGTGCCGTTTCCCGAGCCCGCATTCGAACGCTTTCTCGGTGCCATGCCTGGTCCCACACACCAAGTCAGCAAGCAACACTAAGTGTAACACAAGTGGTTGTAGCAAGACACACACCTGCAAGTTCAGTCAAGTGAAATGAGACCAAAAGCACATGGTGTGACATCACAGAGTGAAGAATAAACAACGGCCGGGCCTATGGTACTATGGTGAATGACCTGGCCTGCAAAAAAACAGATGTCACACACACAGTGAGCAACAGTGGTAGTAGCAGTGTTTGTGCATGAGCCTCAACAAGGATTCACGAGTAATCGCCCAACATCAACTGACTGACCAAAAAACAATCGGTGACGACTACTTCAAAGCTGGTTTGTGGCGATCCCACATCTCACATCCCGGAAATTGTGACGACCTCGGGGTTGTATAGTGCCTTTTTTGTGACGACCTTGACCTGGTGGGGTAACCGTTTGTGACGATCTCAGCCCCGTAGAAGATGGAAATGTGACGACCTTGAACTCCCCTGACATCATTTTGTGACGAGTTCGGTCCCGACTCTTCACAAATCCGGGTCCTACCAAGCCCTGCCAGTTTCAGCCGGCTTGGGTCCCAGCTGATCACAAAACTCCTTCCCCTGGTGGGCATGGCTATGTTCTCACAACCATGGCATCCCCAAATCTACTGTGTTGACCTCCAGGCAACGATGTTTCAGCAGAGGCTGGTCCCAGACCTTCACAATATCACAGTGATTGGCACTAGTCAAGTTTAAGAAGACTATGGTCCTCTCAATCTAGAATCTTAGAGTGTGCAATCAGAGGTCAAACACTTAAGCACCCTTCATGATCACCAAGTACCACTAACTTTTGGCATGTCATTCAATACGGATGGTGTTGGCTTGAACCTTTACTAACATGTCCCCATAAAGTTACTAGCAATGTCCCAACGAATGTGGCTTTGGTGATCACGGGCAAACCACTTGTGCAGTCTGAAAGGCATCATTGGCCACTCCATAGGCGGTCTCCCAGTCCAACCCTGCAGCCCACAGGCGAGCAGCAGCCCTGTAAATCACGGACCGAGCGTGAAGGGATCTAAATCTGGCAATCTCACAACGACCCAGGGGATTGCTAGCAAGCAACCTCACTTCTGCTGGTACCTGTCAGAGTTGCTTAGTGTGGACAAGCCAAATAATCAAACTATTTGGACCTGGACAACATCGTTTACTTTGAAGGGCACAGGATCCAAATTCTGCACCAGGTCAAGACCCTCAGTGTTGGGGCCTGGGCCAACAGCAGGCCCGAAGGCAGGCAATGACCTAGGCCACAGGATTGTGTTGAAGAAACGGTGTGTGAAGTCATGTCATAGTTGGGACCCTAGCCAGCTTACTTTCAAGGGCGGCTGTAATTCCCAAGTACCATCCGCCCACTTCTCCAAACAGTCTGCTGCCCTGGTCATACAGTAAGGATGGTTTCCTCGGTCAACCAACTGCGTGAATTTGGCAACACTCAAATGTGCCAAATTTCACTCAGGTTTCAATGCTGAGACCTACACGCATCATAGATGCATATTTGAACACATCATCTCGATGAGCAACTGGTTGGGAAAGATCCGATGGCGCAACTGGCGATGGTGGCACTAACCTTCTGTTTATGTGGGGAGCTTTGCTCACAAATGTTCATACAGCAACATGACATGTAAGTGTCACCTGGAACACTCAGTCCCCGTGTGAGATCAGCCACGCACGCTGGCAAGTAAAGCAGTTGGCTACCCCGCCAATGAGCATCAGACATGTTTTGCTTTGTCCTGCAGTTCACGACCACGACTGAACTATGCATCACCCATTATTGAATTACAGTACTCCTTAGGACCACATCACGACCACTGAAGGTGGCACCACGCCGGCGCCAGAACTTGGTGTTGAGGTCTTCAATACGAACACCTGTCAAGAACAAATTCATTGAGGGCTTCAGAAACCGGTCTCCCCGACGGAAAGTTGCTGGCGGTGTGACTAATGTACGACATGGCACGCAAGTCATCCACTCTGTCCAGACTGAACACGTGTGGCGCAGTGGGTCCGCCAATTCCAACAATAGTGTTGTTGCCGCACTGCAGCTGCAAGAACGTTTTCCTGATGAGACATGTGACCCCCCGTTTGCATGCACCAGTGCATCAACAAATGGAACAACAGTAGACAGTAGGCCTCCATAATGCCCCCCATCACAAAAAATTACCAATGCGATCACTGAGCAACCAGTCACGTACTTGGTCTACAAGTTGGACATCGGAGTGGGCCTCTGTTGGACGCACGTCAGGGCGTTGCAGGTAGTCTCGAAGACATCGGACATAGTCATGGGGCGTGTGCAAACACTGTCCACCCTGTTTGAGGACTGAAGACAAGTTTGAGAACAAACTGTCTATGTCCTCGTGTGTGTGCCCTGTCATCAACGTCCTGATCTCAGCCCTCCTAATCTTTTGGTGTGCCACCAAAAGCGACAGATACCTGACGAGGCCATTGTTCTTAATTTCTTTGGGCCCGTTGTCGCCCTGGATCAGTATCTCTGTGTTGCGTAAATCAGTGCCACGCTCCCGGACCCTCTCAAGTGTCCTGGCCACTATGTCGATGGTCCGACTGCTATCAGCGGGCACACCTGGCAATGAAAGGGCAAGAAATACGTCATGTCCATGTGCGATGATAGCTGTCGCCGTGAGTTTGGGAGCAATGAAGCGGTTTTATTCCTTGGCGTAAAGGGCCTGGTCCCTGGGCCAAGTGTACTTGGCGCAGTCCATTGAATCACAGATCATGACCACAGTCTCAGGTGTAGCGTTCCCCGAAAAGCCCCTGGCGATGTTCCGGGAGTGCCAGTAGG